AGCGCTACCATCTGTGTTGCCAAGTCCGCGGTTATTTTTGATGTCACGGGTTGTAGTGACCGCAATAACGTCATATTTTGGCACTGGAATGCGAATTTACCAGGGGAACCCCAACTGAAAGCGTGTATTTTACACCCCAGAACACGATTTTTAAAGGGGGACCACCCTCGAAACACGATTGGGCTAGTTTTGAGTAGCAATTGGGCAGGTTTTGTTGTGACAACCTGGCAACCCTAGCATGCACCTTTACATAACACAATAATAATGTCTTAAAATAATGACATAAAAACATTTTGTTTAACACTTATGCAAGCGAATCGTGCCCACAGCTAAAGTTTAGCTGCTAAACTGTAAACACTTAACAAAACAATAATGGTGGATACGTTAGCCGAGTGCTAACGTGACTAACTGATGAAACAATACAGTTTGAAAACCAAAATATGTCTACTGTAATGTCTGAAGAACGACAGACAAAAGACGCTCCGTGTCTTAACCTTTAATTATAACGCCTCTTCTCTCTCTACCAGGTCTTTTACTCCCTGCATTAACCCTGTAACTACATAAACAGCACTTTCACAATGATTATAAAGTCTGTGCGCTACACTACATTCTTTATTATTAAACGAAGTAATTAGAACAACGACAGTCTACCTTAATAGACACATTCTTAGGAAATAGTGGGTTCACAGCGAATTATCATAACTATTTCAGTAAAACAGTAATATCGTGCTTTACCTGGAAACCTAAAGCTGCACTAGGTATATATACATCACATATTAGCACAAAAAAAAATAGACGAGTGTTCGCATTTCGTGGGCGGGCGGGCATTATGCTAATGTGTTACCCAGTGACGTAGATCGGTAACAGGCAGAAGATTCGAAAATATAACGACTCGTTAAGGCGATTCTGAGTCGACTCTTTATCAATATCTTTATTTATCATGCACGTTTTTGATTAACAACTTTGCAGACTGTTTACATTGAAGGATAGCTACCTTACAAACTGCGAAAGAGATATTTTTCGAAAACCCATATGACCTGCTCTTTAAAGCACAAACTCAATTGTGTTCATTTTCTCAGAAAACAAGACTTCATGTCAAATTTGCATCTCAAGAAAACACATCTTGAGAAGGATATTTGGGAATCTATACGGAGTTAGAAATGCATTTTTTTTTGCAGGGTGAATTGAAGACTTTCTGCTCAAGTTCAAGATATTTTCAGGCCTTGATTTGTGTGGAAGGGCCGCAGAAACCCTGTAAAAATGAAAAGTGTATTTAAATCCCATGCTTTCAAAATCTCACTCCAGCCAAATGCAATCAAAGTTGGCAGCCCTGGCAAATCATCACTGCATTCGTGAATATGCTGCATACAGGTTGTTCTATAATTTAGCGAATTAATTCGAATTTTGAGCCAATTTGACATAGTAGAGTTTGCAGTAGCTCCTCCCCCAATACAACCAATCACATCTTAGTTAAATCTTTGATATTTTATTAATTAACTTCTGCCACTAGGTTAAAAGACGGTTTAAGTTAGCAAGATCCTTCCTGAAGTCAACATTTATTTTGCACATAAATTAGTGCACAGACAGGGATTCATTCAACAGACCAGCAGCTTATGTGGATGTTTGCGGTAAATCAATGTTTCTAGTAGCGTGCATTTACTCAAGCCAAAACTCACCGGGCATCTGAAGCGCATCGGCGACCTCCTTCCATCGTTTGTCCTTCTCCTCCCGGTTGTGGTAATCGGCGGACGAAATGTCGTACAGACATGCAGACTCCTGCCAGAGCTCGATCAGCGTCTCCTCCGCTTCGGGTGTCCACAATCTTCCAGTCATCGCGAATGAACAATATTCTGGTCTCACGAGTCAGTTTACAGCCGCTGGCCTCATTTACATAATCGCTGGACGCGTAAACAAGCGCAGCGACTCAACTCTGCGCGAGTTTAATGGATCGGAAGACTGGGATCTCCTTCTTTTAGAGTAATGGCGGCTTACAAACACCCTTGAAACGCACATACCGCCACCTACTACACCGGAGTGTATAGAGGCACGGCTTCAGTCTCTTACTCCATCCATGTAACCCTGATAGCTCACGTACATCACAGAGATGTCTATTTGACGTCTGCATTTACATCTGCAAGACCTGTTTTTTTAGAGTGTTTGTTCATCTGCAATACGTCTATAGGACGTTTCCTATCAGATGTCAAATAGACGTTTAGAAGATGTCTTTAAGATGCTTATGAGTTAGAATGAATGTAAAACATCTTAAAGACGTCTATCAGATGTTTGTACACAGCAGATGCTTTCCAGATGAAGAGATCTTTCGCAGACATGTTGCAGACCTACGTGTGCTATCTGGGAATATTCTTTAAAAAACACACACACAACTATATACTATCAATAAAATAATGCCCTGCCTAAAATGAGTGTTTCTCCCGAACCCGCAACATGCAGAAAAGTTAGTTTAAGTCAAATGTATACTTCCCTGATAGCACACGTACATCACGGAGACGTCTATTTGACATCTGCAAGACGTATTTTTTAGAGTGTTTGCTCATCTGCAATACATCTATGGGACGTTTCCTATCAGATGTCAAATAGACGTTTAGAAGATGTCTTTAAGATATTTATGATTTACAATGTATGTAAAACTGACATCTTAGAGACATCTATCAGATGTTTGTACACAGCAGATGCTTTCCAGATGAAGCGATCTTTAACAGACATCTTGCAGACAAACGTGTGCTATCTGGGTCAAAATCATAAACATCTTAAATACATCTTCTAAACGTCTATTTGACATCTGATAGGAAACGTCCTATAGACGTATTGCAGATGTCCTATAGACTTATACCTGATGTCGGAACAGTTTGATCAATTTGTACACACTTTTAATGAAATATTTGTATGATTAAAAGGAAGAATAGTAGTTATAGTCTCGTATTGGCCAGTTTTTACAAGCCTTCCAACGAAAAAAAAAACAGCCCTACAAATTAATAAAAGAACACGTTATACAGACACTTAATGGTAGGCCTATTTGATGATTTGTTAATTGCATTTAATTTATTATAAATTCAATAAACCATTTGAAATGGGTTTGTAAAAGCTGTTTTTATGCATGTTTTGGCCTGAGTTCTTGTTGCATTTATTTTCTTGCATGGAGACTGAGTCATAGTAATAGCTAGGCCTATAAGCACACAGTTGTACAGCATTGCCCTGGACTGTGGTTTTTATTCAGAAATATATATGGCCGCTGAATGTCGCGACTGACCACCTGAATCAAGAAATACTCAAGAGAAGCGAAATAGAAACCAATTAATAAAGTGAAATAGAAACACACACCGACACATACAGCAAGTCATTAAGCCCAATTATAATTTTGCTCACATGACAGAATGAGAATGAGCACGAAATCATGAAAAACAGCATAACAAGGACATAGCAACCAGATCTATTATGAGTGTTGGGGAGTAGCTATGTAACGGAATTATGTAATTTAATTACAAAATAAATGTAGGCGAACTGTAATCTGTTGTTACAGAGTAAAAAAAAAAAAAAGTGTAACTAAATTAGTTACTTATGAAAATATTAACGATTACAAAGGGGATTACATCTGAATATTTTCACATACATACAGATTTAATTGATTTCTTTCATAAATTGCATTGACTGCTCTAAAATATGGGACACTAATGTTTCAAGCCATGGTTTCAAGAGTTTAGGACACATGCTTATTTGATAACTTGTTTTATTTCCTATTTGGGTTTGTGTACATGCTTTATTTTTTATGTATAAGCTTTATTTTTTTCCAAAGGATTTTTAGATGCCAGTGTTTCCTGTCATAGCCAAAGATTTGATTTAAAACACAGTATTATAGCTATTAAACTATTGATTTGAAAGAGCTGCTAAAGTCTGATTTTGTGGGTGGCTGTGATTTAAAATTAAACTATTATAATCTTCGAGTGATGAAAGATTTTGAAAGTCTGACAGTAATGAGTGTTGAGTACTACTGTAAAGTTAACCCTGCCTGCTTTAAATATTTCAAAGTTATTAACAGTTGAAAACATTTGTTAGAAATTTAGAAAGGTAATCAAAAAGTAATCAGTTACATTACTTTAATAAAGTAATTGAAATAGTTACACTACTTATTGCATTTTAAATAGGGTAACTTGTCATCTCTAACCTATTACATTTCCAAAGTAACCTTCCCAACACTAATTACGAACCACAAAAAAATTTGCACAGCGGCCAGACCATAAACCATTCGCTTACTATTAGAAGACTTGTGGCTTCCAAGATGCAGTTTTGAGCTTCGTGAGAAGCAACTCGTTCGACTCTCCTTCCTACCAAACCAGTTATCACCATGAATATCCATTATGTAGTTAAAACACTAGTTAAAAAAAAAAAAAAAAAAAAAAAAACTACCAGTCTCTCTGATATAGATATTTTTGCAAACACGCTACTAATGTTGCAGGGAGTGATGTTCGGTTCTTGAACGAATCGTTCTTTTGAGTCGGTTCTCAGGAAGTAACCAGTTGAGCCGGTTCACAAATCGAATTGAATCGAACTTTAGTTCCGGGTTGAAGACGCAGGACGCACAGCCGAAGTAGCACGTCAAAATCTCAAAACTCAAAAAGAACCGAATGAGCCGGTTCAACCAACTGTCGAAGTTTGCCGAGGATTTCCGAGGACTCCACAAGAACCGAATGCGCCGTGGCGAAGTTTGCCGAGGATTACCGAAGATTCTGATGAGTTGAGTTGACGATACTGTGCAAGCCTGGAAATATGCGTGTTTATTATGACTGTTATTAAATTACATTTTATTAAAACCTGCAAAAACCTTTCTGTCGAGTGATGTAAATAAATTTTACAATAGTTTATTGTGCATGCATATTATATTTAAAGTTGCTTAAGCGAAATCAAGGAGTTTACAAGACTGGTTTATTCATTCTTTATACTGTAGACATGTAGAACATATCCGCGTTTGTGCATCAATGTCTGTAATGTGTGAAACTTTTAGGGATCTTATCCGAGTTGTAGACTAGTCAATATTGCTCAGTCAGTCGTATCTGAGGATCCGCGAATGAAACTGTGACCACAAACACCATTAACCTAAGTGAATTATATGGCAATAATCAGTAATATGCTTTCACACAAATAACTTTATGTTTGAATGTTTCAATATGCGTTGACACACATGACTTATTTGAATTTTTCATTGATACAACATGGCATTGAGTTGTTAGAAAAGAAAAGCGTAGAGACGTTATTGCTTGATGACGTCAGGAACCGATTAATAGGCTCTTTTAATCGGTTCAATGAGCCGATCTGTCCGAAAAGAACCGGTTCGCGGAAATGAATCGGACTTTGCATCACTAGTTGCAGGTGCTCCAGTTAATGTGACATTTAGTTGGGCTCAGGTGGCACGCCAGTGCTCCGCCCATTAACATTAACAGATGCATTTCGTTCTTTTAATTTTTGTTACTTTTGAATGAAAGTAACTAGTAGCTTTGTTTAAATAATGTTAGTCGAACATCCAACTAAAATGCTTCAGAAAAACATTCCATGAACAATGTATAAATAATATTTTCTGCTCACTTGTGCTTTTTTTGTAATTATATAAGAAATAACACTATATAAATAAAGTAATTGACACTTGTGCATTTATTTTGTAATTTTATGGTATTTAATCTTAAATAACCGAGATGACCAGCAGATGGCTGCAGTGATCCACACATCCTGCTAAACGAATCTTTCAAAATCATTTAAATTAAGGTACTTTCAAATAACCTAAGAATACGAAATAACAAAAACAATCTAAAAGATTAATATGCATTTAGATATTTAATTTATAACTTAAGTAACGGACATAGCTACTATAAGTAAAACCTATGCACATAGACAGTAAACTCAAATCCATATTCAATCATATCTTGCTTTGAATAAAACCAATGAATTAAGATGTTTTAAATTTTGGGGTTACCTTTCAGCATGACAAAAAAATATAATCCTATGCAGACATCTAACATGTTATGCTCCCTCTAAAACTATATTAAACAGAATTTTGTTTATTTTTATCAATATTATGAGGTTTTGACAAGATCATATTAACTTTTTTTCTATCATAAATATGGGGGAAAGTAGTTGGCATTAAGGATGACTTGATTGTTATATATCAGAATAAAAGTTTGCCCCTCATTTTGCTCTGCCCTACACTAACTGTAATTTTTCTCTCTATAATATTGTACGCTGCTGTTAATCTGCTAGAGTATGATTATATTTCTTTCACATATTGCAGTTAATATACTGTAATCAAATATGCTTAAAGATTAACAAGTGTCTGATGAATCTGGATTGATAGATAGATCTACTGCTTGATGTTTGAACACACTCCACTTTTACCAAAGTTGTCAAAATTACTAATACTAGCCACACTGTAAAAAATGACCGTGAATTTGACGGTAAAAGACTGTAAAAATGCTACAGTAAAAAAAATGGTTAACGGTAAATTCCCCCACTATATACGGTGAAAAACTGTATATGACATTACATGTATTGGACATTCACTTGTTTTGTCAATGTATCCACATTGAGAAATCTATGTCAGATTTGTTTAATGTTCATCCAATTTCATTTTGTAAGCAACTTTTCTTTCTGTTTTAAAGATGTTTTCTTTGGATTGTTTGACTGCTCTAAAGAGAATATATATAACTTCATTAATTTGTGTTTTTTTCCTGCTAGCTAAATTTCACATGAACACAAATTTACTGGCTCTAAACCTCTTTTTCTTTATTCAAAGTTGATCTTGACAAGTATATGGAAACTATCCAAAGCTCTGTTAATCCTAAAGCAGTCAAAAAAAACTGTATCTCTGTTCATCCCATGTGTCCTCTAAGGTGTAATTTTTATTAATTTTTTTATTTTTTGGTAACCTGGCAACACATCCCTTACAAACATTAGCTATGGTTTTACTAAAAAAAAAACAACAACATGGTTACTACACCTTTACCATAAAAAAACATGGTTAATTTTCTTTGTAGGATTTGT